ATTTGGTTCCTGGAAGACAATAAGACAGCAGTCTTTTACAGCTCATTTCAGTAGTCCAGCATTCCTCTCGCAGCATTAAGGTCTGTTTCCTGACCTTATCTTGAACTGCGTTTTAGAGATGCAACTCACTGCATGGTTGTGAATTGCACCATGAAAGACCGAAGCTCGCGACTGTAGTAGTACAGATCAACGTTGTCAGTAGTTTAAGGAATATCACTGAAACTGGGTTGATTTCTGAGTTCTCTTTGGATATTCGATTCTGAATGTTGAACTCGTCAATGAATTTACTTAATTGTATGCCTGCTTTTGAAAGACGGCGGTCTTAGCTATAGTGGAGTCAAAACGCGCGCTCGCAACGTCAGTACAAGTTGTGTACGCAGTCTTACGACTGTACGATCATTGCCTTTCTAGCGAGGGGCGGAACTGTAGCATCTTGTGAGATGAATTTTACCATATGAAGTAAGCAATGTTTTGATACTTTTGATTTTCCGAAGTTGTGGTTTAGTTGAGAGGAGAGAAAATGTTTACAGTGCCGTGTCGCTTTGAGGCAGGCTGTATCCCAATATTTCAAGACGTATTTGTTTATTTTTGTTTTAGGAGACAGAAGATTAATGTATTTGCCAAGTTCGTTGTCTAAAGTAGTTGTGTTAACAAAGACGACTGTACGGTGTGGTTCGAAATTGTTTTCTTCCCATAGAAGTGGTCCTAAATTTTCCGAAACACCAGCCTTTTATGGCTATCGCGAAAGAAACACCAAGAGTATACCTTCAAGTCAACTGGCAGAACCAGTCGTCGTTATTGTTCAAAGCATCTCTGGAATTTTGTCTTTCGCTGCTTTCATCATTTACTTCACAGTTCTCAGGTAGTCTTTCTTCTTTTTCTGTGATTATGGTCTGTTCGTCATTCAGGAAGGAAAGCGAATGGGAACGCACCCTGGACCCAGATGTGATGCGCAAGCGAATAATTCAGATACAGAAAAAAGCACTCGTGAAAATGCTGAACGAGAAAAAAATAAGCCCTCAAGATTTTCCGAATTTGGAAGTGAAGATCGAGAAAACGTTCGAATACAAAGAAAACGAATCATAAACTATGTGGTTAAGTACGGCCCAAATTCAACGACAAATGCACAAATACCATGTATATTGCTTTAGTTTCTTGGCTGCAAAAGTGACATTGAAATAGAAGTTTCGAAGCCAGAGTCTTCCCAGGGTGCAGTAGTATTTATGCAATAAAAATAATCAATATTGTCTTCAACAGAGATACTATCGAAGACTTGGTGGTAATCTACTAAATACCGCGCTGAGCGCAACGTGTCACCATGTTTTCTATAACCGTTCACATTTTTAAGCATTTTGAACGAGACGGGAACTGTGTTATTGGTATGGAAGTTGAGGAACACAGTCCTCCTCCTACATGACTAGTAAATGCACGATGAGAATCAGTACGCGATCATTTTCATTGTCCGTTTTACAGTTTACATTGTCCAGTTTACAGTTTACTTTCATCAGAACTGACTCGACCGTAACATCCGTTCAGTACACCATCTGCATGACTTTTTTTACGTTGAGCATTGAGGGTAGAACATCAAGCGCTATAAGTTCGATATAATCTTATGCTTGGTAAAACGAAAGACTGGAAAGTAAATTCGAACATGGAATGCGGGAAGTACGCGGACGATATGGTACTCCTGATCGCCAGCCACAAACCCGACGACCACTGTCACACAATTACCAGGAAGTTTGTCAGTAAGTCACCAATGCAATACTGACCTATAACGCCGAGAAACGTATCGATTTAAATTTTCACTGCAAAAATTAGCATCTTCGCCTGATTTACAGCATCTGCTGCAACGAATTTCATTGAGGCAATGAAGTGAAATATTCCAATGTCGCATCAAATAGTAACGTCAGCTGTCGACGTGGCACTGAAATTTTCAAACACTGGTTTTTAAAAAATAT